GCCGCAGACTGCTTCCTTAAACCGTGAAGTCGCATGCGCTATCGCCGCGTGGCGGCGCGTGTCTCTGCCGTGTCACGATGCGTCTAAACAGGAGGTATGCTCGTCGACTCTGTGATTGGAGGCATTTAAAAACATACGACCCCCGCCCACTTCTTCCATTTTCGGAGAGTAAAAATAGAATTCGTGACGTTTCGTTTTCAACCGCGTATAGACCGCGCGTGCATATTCTGCCTATTAAATTAGACTAATCTGCGCTTCAAGATACTCAGAAATCCGCAGAGACTAAGGCTTAGACGATGACGCTGTCATTAATAAGCTAGAACTTTATAGAATGCTAACTCAAATCTCTCGCTCCATATGTATATTTAGTACACGTTTGCTACTGTCATAGCATGCTGTAATGCCGCGGGGTGAGCAGTGGTCTATTTTTCATGCCCCAATCAACAAGAGTCGGCAGCATATCCTTGCTGTTTAGAACGCATGTGCCACTCGTCACCGTCCCTCCTCGTAGAGGACGGTCACCGCCCTTGCAGGGAGACGCTCGCGGATCGGTGTCTCCCTCTTCATTTCCTCCGCCCCCTCTCTTTTTTCTCCGTGCACGTCTGTTCTTTACAGATTGCGCCTCAGGGGGGGGGGGGAAATGAAGACCCTGCGATGTTTTCTGTTTACTGTCGTAATTTTATGAGTTGAGTGAAAGAGGCAAGCAAATTGATTCGGTAGTTGGTTTGGAAACCCCGCGTTCAAAAATGTATCTGGGGCATGTGGGATTAATAAATATCTCTGATAAAAAAATCAAATCGCCTGCTAGTTTTCTCCCTCTAACGGAAGGGCAGGACTGTAATCGTTAGGATTGTTAGTTAGTAGTGCAATTAATCTGGCCCATGATCGGTATTAATGCTAATCGTTAATATTATAATTAAACAGAAGGGGGATGGTCGCTACAAATGTTGATCATTAATAATGTAATTAAACAAGGGATCACTACTAATGTTAATCGTCAATAATGTAATTAAACGAGGGGAGGGGCGCGATAGCTACTAGTGCTAATCCTTAATAATGTAATTAAATGATAGCCATGATCAGTACTAATGCTAATTGTCAATAATGTAATTAATGGGGGGTGGCGCAATCATTAGCGACGTGAACCGTTAACGACGTTAACCGCATTAACGACGTCGTTAACAACAGAACGAGAAGGTGAGCTATGAGGACTTCCACGAGTGGCTGCAGCTTCACGAGGATGCGACGGCCGTCACCAGGTGGCTGCTCAAGGAACCGACGAGCGTCGCGCTAACCAATGACAGCGAGACGCCCACCTTCTACCAGACGCTGGCCGGAGTCACGCACCGTTAGTACAGCGCCCTCTATACCCTACCCTTGCTCGGCCCGCGCGACGTCACGCGAATGCGTATCGCGTTGTGGTATAACTGTAATGTGGTCGAGAGCTAATAATACCTGTATAATATATACATTATTATAAATTTGTGCTTATTATTGTACTTTAATATTATGTATACATTATTACTTTATTAATAATATTAATTTAATAAATAAATTATATATGTATTATACACTAAATAATATATGTACTATACAATACCATAGTTATGTAGCATTATTGTGTTATGGTAATGGATGCATAGATGGCGGCACTCTCGCGTTATATGCATTTGAAAGTGGGCGAAATTGTGGTGCGGGCGACACACGGAAGGTCGTGTGTGACGTGTCATGTGTGATGACGATGTGTTGCTGTTGAAAGGTTGATGTGTTGCAGTTGAAAGGTTGATGTGTTGCAGTTGAAAGGTTGATGTGTTGCAGTTGAAGAGTTGGACATCATCGAGCTGGAGAAGCGCTACTGGCTGCTCAAGGGAAACTCGAAGACAGGAAAGTTCGATCTCGACACCTTCACGCCGCTCGTGTCGCCGCCAGTGCCATCTAGTGTCTGCAAAGGTAAGCGAATATTGTTTCGCGTGATATGAGAGCGAGCCCTGATGACTACTCTCAATGGCAGGTCGGGTTAATCTAGATAGTACTGACTAACAGACATGTAGACATCAGGTGTGTCTTATGGTATCTCGTCTAGATGTCAGGTGATGGCAGGTTAAGGAACGAGCGACACCCAAGTAACCGCGGTAACGTGATGACATGATGCGAGTACAGAAGCGTGATGCTGCAGCGTAACCGTGGAAACGCGATGCTGCGACGTGACGTATGGTCGCAATATTTCAGGCTTCTTCGATGCGTTTGACGAGAATCGTGACAACCACATCGACTTCAAGGAGATGGCCTGTGGCATATCAGCTTGTTGCCGCGGCCCGGAGCTAGAACGACACAAGTGTGAGTCGCTCGTCCCGTTGCCACGACGCCAGTTGATCGTTGCCGTCAACCGTGTTTTGGATATTTAAACGGAATCTCGTTTTCCGTTGTCGTCATCTCTTTCCTGTTTTAAAATCGATAATGCGGATATTCCGAATTGATAGTAATAATCATAATAATAATTATAACAATCATAGACTTGTTCTGCGCAAACGTGGTGCATCTCATGAAATGTATAACTAACAAAAATCAGAAGGTATTTAGTACCTATGTACTTAGAGCTTTAAAACTACAACACGTATAACATAATACACAACAACTTTGATCTTATTTTTACTTGTACTAACACGATGAAGAATCATTATATCTCGTCCTCTCATCCTTTCACAGTCTGCTTCAAGATCTTCGACGCCGACCAGGCGAACCGGTTGTCACGGCAACAGCTCGTCGACATGCTGTCGGCCATGATGGCCGTGGAGCAGGAGAGTCCGTACGCGGAGATGCCGGCGGGCACCGAGGCGAACGCTAGCGCCCTCGCCGACGAGCTGCTGCGTGAGTACGACGCAAACAACGGAGCGTACCTCTCCCGCGAAGACTACCTGGTGAGTGAAGCGCGCGCGGTTAAAGTGATTTACGTCACGAAATTTATCTAGCCCCATCAAGTAGAGAGTTTGGTGGTGGATTTTGTCGACTGAAAATAGAATATGTATTGAAGATGAGCAGATTGAGGTGTTTCTGTGGTGGTACTTGTTTCATGCGTTGATGAGGACCTTCTTTATATGCCCTAATTTGCGCGGTGAATAAACAGAGAGACGCCAGTACCTGTAAGCAGGTACTGGGGGAATATGTTGAACGAACAGAAATTACCAAATCGTCTAGATTTTTGCAAATTTAACCAACGTAAAAACATTTTTATCAGGTGTAGAAGTTTGAGGATATACTTAGTAACGTTATGTTGTGCTTACTTTAATGAAAAAAATCGCAATCTTTTATTTTACAAATTTACCATGGAAAATTCGTCGACGAAAGGTCAATTTAAGGTGGTGAGGGCTTGATGTGCGGTTGCCGGAGGATGGTGGGTGGTGGCAACTGCTGCCTGCTGCTGCTGGCTGCTCTGCTGCTGGCTGCCTGGCTGCTGACTGGCTGCTGCTACTGCTGCTGCTGACTGCTGCTGCTGCTGCTACTGCTGCTACCTTACTTGTGCTGCCTGCTGCTGCTACTGCTACTACTATGCTCTGCACTACTACTGCTCTGCTGCTGCTGCCTGCTACTACTGGCTGCTGCTGCTGGCTGCTGCTGCTGCTACCACGCTGCTGCTGCTGACTCGCTGCTTGCTACTACTGAGCTGCGGTTCTACAGCAGTTATATCATGCTACATTGACGCCTCCTGAGCTCACATTGCTTTCTCTCGTCTCTGCACAGGTGTGGACGCTGCACCGGCAGCTGCCGAACGCATTCCTGCGGCTGCTCTTCCAGGTGTGCCACGTCGTGCTCGGCCTGAAGCCAAGCTGCAAGGACGAGGAGCAGGAGATCATCAGCGAGTGGGTCGCGCGCGAGGACCGCCGCGGCATGCAGGTACGCGCTGATTGCAGGTGCGTGGTCGACGTGTGAAATGTAACCTGGCATGGCATTAG